TGCATAATCACTGATTATTCAAACCTTGATTTTTATATAAAAATGTGCCCCCTATAATCTTCTATCGATTGCTGAAAACTGCAGATCGCTATGACTTTTCGTTCGAAAGTTATAAGCTTTTTCTCCAGGTGCCTTCTTTTAAAATTCCGATAGTAGTACAGTGATAGTATAGCTGCCTGAAAATCAGAAGATGCATGATTCGATTCCGTGAGAAGGAAGATTATTCTTTTATTCCATTGTGTTATCATATCATCATGTTGCTATCTTTCTTATAACATAGACTCTATCCATAACGTCAACCCTAGTCAGATAGGAAATCTCCTAAAAGGACAAATGCTCTTACGAGGGAACGACCCCAACTGATTCCGAGCTTTCGGCTTCGTATTTTGGCTATAGATAGACCTCAATGAGACTAAGAAAATCCTGGAAGCGTTCGTGCCCACGGGCTGCTGGACCAAAGTTATAGCTGTTTTACTGAACTTTTAGCCTACGACACGGTATCCACAGTAAAGTTAAATGAAGGTATTTCGATCTGATATTCTGTCCATAAACAGGTCTAATGATTTCTAGCATGTACCAAAATTTTCAATCAAAACGGATGCATCCTTCTTGAGATATTCAATTTGCAGGACAGCTCCATTATTGTGACTTACCTGTTATAGGCATACATTTTTGAAAATTGAATATCTCAAGAAGGAAGCATCCGTTTTGATTGAAAACTTTGGCACATGCTAGGAATCATTAGACCTGTTTATGGACAGAACATCAGACCGAAATACCTTCATTTAACTTTACCGTGGATACCGTGTCGTAGGCTAAAAGTTCAGTAAAACGGCTATAACTTTGGTCCAGCAGCCCGTGGGCACGAACGCTTCCAGGATTTTCTTAGTCTCATTGAGGTCTATCTATAGCCAAAATATGAAGCCGAAAGCTCGGAATCAGTTGGGATCGTTCCCTCGTTAGACCTTCTTTTCTAAGTTACAATTGTTCTACTGGAATTTCAGGCTGTGAAACGGTATACATCAATAAATCGAATGGCGGTATTCCAACCTGAGATCTCTCCTACAGATAGATCTATTTGTGACTAGAGTATCCTGAAAAATTTCAGTCCAAAAGAATGTTTCCTTTACAAGATATTGAATTTCCAAAAATCTGAAATTCTTCCACTCTTATCAGAATATCAGTGATTTTTAGATATTCAATGTCGTATATTCACAACAAGAAACGTTTTAAAAAATTAACAGTAAAGTTTAACACATCAAAACTTTGCTATTACCATATCAGCTAAACGATGATGGACTATTCTAGAATTATAGAGTTTGATTTCGACTGTCAGTATATGTGGAAAGAAAAATTCTTCAAACTTTGTATAAGATTTTATAGCGTCGGTATCACTACTTTTGATATTCCCTAAGTAAACCAATCAAAATCAATCATAACTTTGCTATGAAACTGTTTATTTTATTAAATAATTAGTCACTAAATATAATGAATTTCATTTTATTAAATTAATAAAAAAAAAATTCTAAATCATGTATTATTCTTTAAATATTCGTTCTTTTCGTTTCCTATTCGTTAAATAGGTATCTATTGAAAGTATAATCGCTGATGTAACAATAAATGAAGCTCCAATGTAAAACATCAAAGGTCTTGTAAGTCGAAAAAATATATATTGTAATAAACAAGCATAAACTATACCAAGTGTACTAAGTATAGACAATACTTGAAGATTTTCTCTTTTTAATGCTTTAGCATTAAAAGTATTTGATAATAAATGAAAACATGCAATAATAATACCAGCTGTACACATCCATTTCCATGGATATGGCTCTGGATGCCAAAACCTTCGAATAATACTATAAATCACTGCAACAACGAAAGCAAATGCTGTAAATTGAAAATTCATAACAGAATGTGGTAGTTTTGTTTTGATTAATTGTTTTCTTGCAACCATTTGTATAGCTTTTGTTAACGATGATATAAAAGCGAAAAGAATACCTAAATAATGATTTAATGAACCTGTAACTGTAGAAGTCATTATTGTAGTTGTAGAAATTGTTATATTTGTAGAAATTGTTGCATTTGTAGATAATATTGATTGATGAAATAAATGACTTAACATTTTAACTAAACTTTGAGGTTTTGTAGCAAGTATTAATCCAATTATTGTTAATACTAATGCAATAGCATTTACAAATTTAAAATGTTCTTTAAGAAATATAACAGATAATATTGCTGCCCAAACAATATATGTATATTTAATAGCATTTACATCTGATAATGGAAGAAAATAGAATGCAGCTAAATATGTTAAATTTGTTCCACTTGACATTATCATATTCAATGTACAAGCAATAGGTTGTCCATTAGTATTAAATATATTATAATGTTTATAAAAAGCAGCATATAAACCAAATACAATTGATTGTAATAAAAATCGACTAATCATTATATCAAACATATCAGCTGGAATAAGTTTTAATGCAAATGTACAACAAGCAAATATCATATTGCCTGCTATCATATACCAAATTCCTGAATGTTCACGTAGTCGATGGCATAGATTTTCAAAAATCGATAATGAAGATTTTTTAGATGTTTCGACTACATCAGCTGATATTGTATAAAGTGGTACTTGCTGTTGTTGTTCTTCTTCAGTCTGTGAAAATACATAAAATAGTTGAGGATTGATAAAACAAAGAGATTTGAACTTACCATAATTGTAATGGAGAATAAATATAATGCGCAACTCTTCTAGATGAAGTATAATAGAAGAAAAAACAAAAAAAAA